ACGTGGGGAATCAGGACACAGGGACAAGGGAAAAGTGGACACTGTTGGGATAAGGGGACAGCCCCACCTGGGGGCACGGCGACAACCATGATCCACAATGCTGTTCACGGCGACAACTGTGACATGGGGACATGACCACCCCTTGCTCTCTGTGTCCCCAGACCCCGCCTGACCCTCATCCCGTCCCCGCTGCCCCGGCCACCCACGGACCATGAACGTGCTGGCCCCGGTCCGCAGGGACAGGGTCATCGCCGACCTGCCCGCGGTGAGCAGGGGGACCCGCCAGCCCGGGAGTGACCCCGCCGAGCCCCGTGCTCACCCCGCTGTCCCCCTTTGTCCCCTCGCAGTGTTTTCGCAAGGAGGCCGCCCTGCACACCCGCCCCGCCTTCCACCCCACGGTGGCCGGCGCCTGCCAGGAGCAGCGGACGGGCACCGTGGGGTCTGTCCCGCGGGGTTTGGGGTCCCCGCTGTCGGGCTCGGGGGGTGACAAGGGACCCTCGGTGCCGCCAGCCGCGGGCGGGGGTCCCCGGCGTGGGCGCCGCGTGGCTGCCGGCGCTGCCCGGTGCCGAGCCCTGCGTCACGGCGCTGGAATGCGGAGCGGGGGGGACACGGGGGGAGCGCGGGGCGGGAGCGGGGATCCGGGATGAGCGGCGGGGGGGACACCGGGGATGCGGGATGAACCGCGGAGGGGCCGGGATACGGAGCGGGGGGGACACCGGGGGAGCTCGGGGGTCCGGGATGAACCGCGGGGGGGACACCGGGGGACACCGAGGGGACAGCGGGGGAGCACGGGGGTCCCGGATGAACCGCGGAGGGCCGGGATGCGGAGCGGGGGGGACACCGGGGGACACGAGGGGCCGGGCGGGGATGGGATGGGACCAGCCCAAAACCCTCGGGGACAGCCCGGCTGTGCCTCCCACCCTGCTGAGCCTCGCGTCCCCCTCGCCGCAGGTTCAAGATCTCCAAGATCATCGTGGTGGGCGACCTCTCGGTGGGGAAGACGTGCCTGATCAATCGGTAACGGGAGCCCCGGGGAGGCTCGGAGGCGGATGGAGAGGGGGGAAGTGACCCCTCTCCCCCAAAGGGCAACAGCACCTTGGGCTGAGCCCAGCTCTGGTGCTGGGCACTCCCGGGGCGGGGGGCACTGAGTCCCCACGGGGTCAGGGGATGTTGATACCCCCCTGCCTCCCCCCCAGGTTTTGCAAGGACACTTTTGATAAGAACTACAAGGCAACCATCGGGGTGGATTTCGAGATGGAGCGGTTTGAGGTGCTGGGGGTGCCCTTCAGCCTGCAGCTGTGAGTAGGTGCCAGTCCCCTCCCCACACACCCCTGCAACGCCCCCTCACCTCCCACACTCCCCCAGGTGGGACACGGCCGGCCAGGAGCGTTTCAAGTGCATCGCCTCCACCTACTACCGGGGAGCACAGGGTGAGCTCCCCCTGCAGCCCAGCTGCCCACCCCACTGTCCCTGTCCCCGTCCCCATCTCACCCTCCTTCCTCCCCAGCCATCGTGATTGTCTTCGATGTCAACGACGTGGGGTCCCTGGAGCACACACGGTAGGTGACACATGGCCCAGAGGAGGGGCCAAGGATGAGAGTGGGGGACAGAGAGGGGCTGTGGGGCTGCTGTGCTGTGTGAGCACTGCTGGCCACCAGCTAGTGACAGTGGCTCCACAGGCAGTGGCTGGCTGACGCCCTGAAGGAGAACGACCCATCCAACGTGATCCTCTTTCTGGTGGGCTCTAAGAAGGATCTGAGCGTGAGTGTGTCCCCCTCCCTGTGGGCAAACCGTGCCCTGGCTGTCCCTGTCACCCACCCGTGCCCGGCCTGGTTGGCAGACCCCAGCACAGTACAGCCTGATGGAGAAGGACGCTCTCAAGGTGGCCCAGGAGATGCAGGCAGAGTACTGGGCTGTGTCCTCACTCACTGGTGAGTCCCAGCTGGGTGGGAGGCTGCAGATCCCACATCAGCCAGGTCGGGGGGCACTCAGGGGGTCTCTTCTTCCCGTGGGGCAGGGGAGAACGTGCGGGATTTCTTCTTCCGAGTGGCGGCGCTGACCTTTGAGAGCAGCGTGCTGGCCGAGCTGGAGCGCGGCAGCGGCGCCCGCAGGATCGGCGACACCGTGCGTGAGTAGCCCCGGCCAGCCCCGCCCGGGTGTCCCCCTTGTCCCCCCACACACCCACCCACCCTGCCTCCTCCCTCTGTCCCTCAGGGATCAGCAGCAAGGAGAGCGACCTGTACCTGTCAACGCCCCGCAAGAAACCCAAGTGCTGCCAGTGAGGGGACAGCCCCAGCCCCCTCCGTGCTCACACCTCTGGACCAAAGAGGGGCGACCCCGGCCGGCCCCGAGGAGACGTCCCTGCCACCCCCAGCCCCTCCCGGCCCCTGGCCTGCCTGGGCACCCCTGGTCTGCCTGGGCATCCCTGGCTGGGGTTGGCAGGAGCACCCATGTGGCTCCTGTAGCTATGCAAACCCAGGTACTGCTCGCAGGAGATGCCCTCAGGCTCCCTTTTGTCTTAATAAAATCTTTTTTATGCTTTGTAAGAAAGGCGTGGGGCTGGAGGCAGGGGGCTGGGGCTGGCTGTGGGTCTCCCTGTCCCTGGTGCAGCCCCCAGGCTCACAGGCAAACAGAGGATGGATGGTTGCCACTGAGGACGAGTTCCTTTTCCACCGAGGAGCATCCCTGTCCTGCAGAGCCAGGGGGGATGTGTCTCTCTCAGGAGGACACAGGAGTTGACACTCCCACATCAGTCCCAGCCCAGCTGGTGCTGGTCGAAGCGGGGCTGCAGGCGGGGAGGGACACAGTGGGAGCACTTGTAGCGCTCCTGGATCCACTTCCCTCCCTCGCTGTTCTCCATGCAGATGGCAGCGACCCCTGTGGGGACACACGGGAGGGCTCAGCACTGCCTACCACAGCCTGTGGGAGTGGCAGTCCCACTGCACCCATGGGTGCACCCTCTCCTACCTGCCACGACCCCGCCCAGCCGCTCCACCAGCTCGATGGCCGCTCTCATGGTGCCCCCAGTCTCAACCCACTGGTCCACCAGGAGGATGCGCAGACCTGGAGCGGGGAGAGGCTGTGCATGAGTGCCCCGTGCCCACCGTGCAGCCCCCCCCCCAGGAGGGCAGCACCCCTGGCTCACCCGGTGAGATGGCATCGGTGCGGAGCTCCATCAGCTTCTGTCGGCCCGAGTAGTCGCTGTAGGGCTGAGCCTCCGTCTGCACGCACAGGTGCCCGGCTTTGCGGATGGCCAGGAAGCCTTTCCGCAGGGTGGCAGCGGCTGCAGCGCCTGCAGGTGGGCACAGCACTGTCAGGACCCCCAGGACAAGGGACAGAGACCCTGTGCTCGCCTGTGAGCCATGCCCTGCTCACCCAGGATGAAGCCCATGGCGTCGATGCCGGCCACCATGTCGATGGCATCTCCCTGGAAGGGCTGCAGCAGGTCGGCCAGGCAGTCCTGCAAGCCCTGGGGGGAGAGTGGAGGGGCTGGGTGTGGGCAGCCCACCGTGGGCACCCACAGCTGGGTGCCCCAGCAGCCCCTGGAGGTGCAGCCCACCCCAGGCACTGGGTACTTGCGGGTGGCAGTAGAGCCGGGAGGGGTCCAGCCAGGCATAGTTGGGACCTTTGACGTTGGGGGCCATCAGTGCCAGGTACCAGCCCTTCTCCCGGGTGGCAGGGACGTGGCACAGGTCCATGCGTGGGGACTGCAGGCGCTGCAAGCACTGAGCACGAAGTGGGGTGAGACTTCCCCACCTCCCCAAGGCCTGGTGCCCCCCACCCACACCCACACGTGGCACCCCAGGGCCTAGGGTTCCCGTTCTGGCTCCATACCTGGTGCTGGTGGCAGGGCTGAGCCGAGCGGGACCGTCACAGGAGCGTCACAGACAGCGACAGCTGAGCGGGGGCAGCCCCTGTGGCCCTGGGCCAGCACCCTCAGCCAGCTGGACACTGGGACAGAGCCAGGCAGGAACCCTTCCCAGGGCCACTGATGTCCCCCACTGGCTCTGCTGTCCCAGCCAGGCAGGGCTGTGCTGGGAACCAACAGGGCTGTGGCGCTTGCAGCCCATGTGGGTGTCCCCAGCACCAGCTGCCTGTGCCAGCGTGGGTGGCACACTGGGGTGGCAGCCTGTGATGTCGGGGTCAGCCAGCCAGGGTGATGATCAGGGGGATTTCCTGCAGCTTTTGGTGGTCTTGGGCAGCACAGGGATTTTTTGAGGCCATGCACGTCCCCGTTGGGGTGTCCAGGCACTGTCCTGCCCTGCTGAGAACTGGCTGCCACAGCATCCCAGCGAGCCAGGGCTGTGTCCTGACTGCCAATGGGCTCCGGGGGCAGGAGCTGGCCAGGAGGGACAGCCCTGGCAGCGCTCTGGGAATGCCGGTGTGGGCAGCCAGCCCAGCTGGGCACCGGGCTCTGGGCTGTCCTGTGGGAGGCACATCCGTGGCATGGGATGTGGGGCCACAGGGAGCGTCCCTGGGATGGGACATGGGGATGCAGCACACACTCATGGGGTGGGATGTGCAGATGTGGGGAGCACCGCGGGAAGGGGATGCGGGGAGCATCTGTGGGCCGGGATCCGGGGCTGCACAGAGCATCCTCAGGGAGGGATGCAGGGATGCAGGGACGCAGGGATGCCGGGACGCAGGGATGCAGGGATGCCGGGAGCATCGTTCTCCCGTCGGGGGCCGCTCCGGGGCCAGGGGCTGCGCGGGGGCCGGTGCGTCACGGGGCGGGGGTTTGGGGCCGGCTCGTTACCGGTCCCGGCACATCACCCCACCGGCTGCCACAGCAACGGGGCCGGTCCCACCGGGAGGGGTGACCCCTTCCCCGCGGGCTGCCGGCGCGGGACGTGCGGCGGCTGCGGGAGCGGCGGCAGCACCCCGGCTCTGCGGGACCGTCCGCGCGGTGCCGGGCCGTGCCAAGCCGTGCCGGGCCGCCCCGCGTGGGCGGGCTGCGCCGCTCTATAAGGCGGCCCCACGGCGGCGAGCGGCGCGGTGCCATGTGCGCCCCGGGGCTGCTCTGCCGCCTCCTCCTCCTCCTCCTCTTCCTCCTCCTGCTCCTGCTGCCGCCTGCCCCCGGAGCGGCCTCGCCGGGACGGCCCCGCGCCCGCCGCGGGCTCACCTACCCCGGGACGCTGTGGTGCGGTGCGGGCAGCAACGCGGACAGCTACGAGCAGCTGGGTAAGGGCAGCAGGGATGCTGCTACATGTATCTTCCCATCCCATCTCATCCCATCCCTTCTCATCCCATCCCACTCCCTTCCATCCCATCCCATCCCATCCCATCCCATCCCATCCCATCCCATCCCATCCCATCCCATCCCATCCCATCCCCAACCCACTGCTCCATCCCATCCCCAACCCATCGCTGGGTCAATCCCCACCAATCCTAATCCAGTCCATCCCAGTACTGGTCTGGATGGACTGGTCTACTCCAGCCCCTGTCCCCATAGTAGTTCAATCCTCCTCTGTCCCAGTTCAGTCCCCACCCAAGCACCAGTCCAATCCCAGTTCACCTCTGCCTAGTCCCTATCACAATTCTTCCTGGTGCTGCTCCACTCTTGATCCACCCTCTGTCCCCAGCCTACTCTGTGGTCCATCCTGCTGCCATTCCAGTCCCCATCCCAGGGCTCTGTCATCTCTTCCTGTTTTTCTGACCAATATTTTGATCCAAACTTCTCCTGTAGGGCTGACCATTAGGAAAATATCTTCTCACACTCTTCTCTCTTCTGGCCCTACAAAGCCTTCATTATTTAAGATAGGAAATCAGTGAGGAATTGTGCTTTGCAAATTACTTGGCCTAACAAAGAGGTGGATCCTGACATTGCACTCAAGAATTATGGCTGAAACTGAGTGGAAAGGAAGACTCAGTTCATGAGTGCAGATCTTCTTTTGCCAATGGACTACTTGCCTTTTATTTATTTCTTAGTATATATTCAAAGCCCATTCCAATACTGCTCCACTCCCAGTTGCTATCCTGATCCCAGCCTAAACCCTCTTGTGGCCCTTTCCAGGACCCCAGTCTCATCCCCAGTGTGGTATTGGCACAGCCCAGTCCCAGTCCCAGTGCCAGCCTTGTCCCCACCCAAGCGCTGATCCAGCTGAACCCATCCACCCTTACCTACCCCAGCATCATTCCATGCATGCATCAGCCCAATCAGTCCTGATCCTAACCCTGGCCTAGCCCAACCCCAGCCCTGCCTGCAGCCCCCGTTTCCCTGCAGGGGAGCACCGGGACACGGACCGGTGCTGCCGGGAGCACGACCACTGCCAGCACGTCATCCACCCCTTCACCGCCCGCTACGGCTACCGCAACCTGCGCTGGCACACCATCAGCCACTGCGACTGCGACCTCAGGTGAGCGTCCCCAAAGTGCCCCAGGGCTCCCTGGCATCCCCCCGGGGGCTGGCAGCCCCCTGAGCCCGCTGTGCCCCGGGCAGGTTGAGGGAGTGCCTGCGGCGGGTGAACGACACGGCCTCGCGCGTGGTGGGCCAGGCCTTCTTCAACGTCATCCAGGTGCCCTGCTTCGAGTTCACCTACAGGGAGGAGTGTGTGGAGCCCTATCTCTATGTCTGGTGAGTGCCCCCCTGCCCTGGGGACCGTCCCCTTGCCCTGTGGGGCTTGTCCCACCCTGTGGTGCCTCCTGGATTTTGGCAGGTGCAAGGCGTACAACACGGTGGCCGTGGCGGTGCCCCGAGAGCCGGTGCTGTATGAATTTGGGGGGGAGCTCATCGACAGGGCAGCCAGGCCCAGGGGAGTCCCCCTGAGCCCCCCATGGGGCAGCACAGGGGGAGGAGGAGCCCTCCCAGTGGATCATCACACCAGGACACCCCCCAAGGCAGGCAAGAAAGAGAGGAAGAGAAAGAAAGATAAGAAGAATAAGGGGAAAGGTCTGAAAAAGAAAGGCTCTTCTGAAAAGAGGGCACGGAGCCATCCTGCTGGCCCTGCTGATCCCTGGGCCTTGCTGCCATCATCCAACACCATCCTGAGTGATGCCCCAGCACGGGAAGGAGTGGGCAGGCAGCCAGTGCCAGCCACTCCCTCCCCGGTCCCCACCACCAGCGGGAAGAGGAGGAGGAAGGAGAGGAACAGAAAGAAGAGGCTGAAAAGTAAAACTGAGGCTGAGCCTGCACAAGAGCTGCAGCTCTGAGTCCTCCCTGAGCCCTGCATGGGTCCTGGCTGTGAAATAAATTTACATCTGCTTGAGCATCCTTGGTTTTGTCTCTGGGGGAAAGGATGGCACCAGGGGCAGCATCCAGGGGAAATCCCAGGGCTGATCCTGTGGAACACCTAGAACTGGGTGGTATCCAGGGGTTTGAGCTGCTCCTCACTGCTCCCCTCAGTCCATGTCATTGTCCTGGCACTGGGGACAGAGCTGGGTGGTATCCAGGGGTTTGAGCTGTTCCTCACTGCTCCTCTCAGCTCATTTCATTGTCCTGGCACTGGGGACACAGCTCTTGGCCATGTGCTGGCAGCAGGGCTGAGCCCCAGTTTCAGCTTCCCTGCTAGGGGGTTAAATTCCAGCTCCCCAGGCATCTCATTTTCTCTGGGAGTTCTCCGAATTGCACCACCCAAGCTCTCTCATCTCTTAATGCCTTGCCTTTCCCATGCTCCCACACCAGCATCAACTCCTTCTCCCTTCCTTGGGGAGGAACAGGGGCTTGGCCCTCCCTGAAGGCTCCTCAAATGCCTGCAGAGCTCCTTAGAGTGGGACAACAGACACTTTTCCAGCCCTGGGACAAAGGCAGACACTGCCTGGGAAGAGCTGGGGCACAGAGAGCTGCCTGTGTCCCTTCCTGGTGGGTGGGGACCCTGTCTGGGCCCCTGCAGCCAGGAGCAGGGAATAGGGCATGGCCACCAACTCCTCCGAAGTGCTTCCAAGGGTGGAGTATGGCTCAGCCCAGTGTCCTGGTGAGGTGGTGGAAAGATTTTCCTGCACCAGCACCAAACACCAGGCTTGGAAAGAGCTGGAGTGCCAGGAGCCAAGCAGACAGCAAAGCCCACGCTGAGGAGCGTGCAGTGCAACCCCAAATCCCTGAAATAAGCGGATCACACGAGGCCAGGGGGGAATTCCAAGGGTGGAGGAAGGCATTGCTTCCTCTCTGGCTGCAAAGCCCCTGTGGCAGCCACAGCATCCCGGCAGGAAGCACGGACAGGGGGCACGCGGAGCAGCTTCCCAAAAGTAGAACTTTTATTGACAGCAAGGGAAAACTAAAAACAAAAACAGCCAGAAAGGAGGCAACAACACACAACTAGCCTCCTCTTTCAGGTCCAACCAGTAAGGAGCTGCTCCCAGTCAAATTCCTATCGTACAGTCTCATGAAATAAGAAAATAGCGCCAGGTTCAGCCACCTCTGACTTCGGAGCTGTGGGCCCCAGCCCATGGCTCTCCCCACTGGCCTGGGTGGCTTTGGGAGGAACAGGACCCTGTCAGCCCCTCAGCACTGCAGAGGGGATGGCATTGAAGCCAGGACCTGCATTTCTCTGTGCAAAGAGCTTTGCTTTGTCTCCCGGGTCGCTGCCATTCTTCAGGAGCATTTACATGCAAAGAAGAGCTTTGTTTCCTAAGATCTGCTGTTCCTGCTCATTTCCTAGCAAAGGAGGCTGACCAGGAGCACTGGGAAGGAACAAAGACTCTGCTTCCATAGAAAATCCCTACTAACAAAGCAGGAGAGGGGAGAGTGTGTGCAGCAGGAACTTTCCCTCTCACAAATGTCTCTCCTCTGTGGGCAATCCCACACTGGGCTGCTTCTTTATCCACTTTATCCCTCTTCCAGTGTCTCTCCCTATCCCACAGCCACAGGGAGTTGCCCCCGATGTCAGTGTGATGTCTCCATGTGGTGCATCCATAACAGAATCTTATTTGTTAACAACAGAAATCAGCTTCTCTGCGAAACTTGCAGCACACAGAGGGCAACACCAAGCAACAAAGGCAGGAGGAGCATCGACTTCCACCAAGCAACTCTGCTCTGAGCAAATCCTAAGGGAAGGGCAGGGTGCAGGCAGAAAACCTCTGAGCTAGCATTCAGTAAAAACTCTATTTATTCACCCCTCTTGGTTACAGCTGGGCAGGGGAAGGGGTACAGAGGAGGAGGCCATGCACTCCGGGCTGCTCCGTGCTGCTTTATCCCACGTGTCTGTCTGGGGAAGCTGCCGCAGGCTGGCGCTTTATTTCGCAGTCTGTTTAAAAAAAAAATAATCAAAACTAAATAAATATTGTTCCAAAAGAAGCCAAAGAGGAGAGAGCAAGCCTTTGGTACAACAGCTGCATCTCCAGCAAGACCCCGAGCTGCTGTGCTGGACCCCTCCAGACACAGCTGGGGTTGGCACAGGCTCTGCTGAGCCCGTCACGCATGAAAACATGGAGCAAACAACAACAGGAACTTTGTGAGAACTCTGGTTCGTTTGTCACAACCCCCACGACTTTGCTTTGTGGTCTCGGGACGAGGGGAGGTGACAGTCAGGGTTTGGGAGAATCCAAAGGAAACAGGCTCACTCCAGGGCAATGCACTTTCAGCTCCATTTGCTTCCCAGTCTTTGGGGTGAAAGCAGAGTGCTGTGCATGTACAAGGACAGACTCCTTTGACCTCATGTTTGCTTTGCTAAGTTCCCAAAGGTGCCTCAAAACCGGAGCCTAGAACGCAGAGGCCGATGCAGTGTTCCTTTCTATGATATATTTTTCTTATATATAGTATATATTTTTAAACCAGCCCTGCCAAGTCTATTCTCTCGCTCAGGTGCACATCACCAAGAGTCATTTCCCACCATCCCACGACGTATAAAACAGGAGTTATGTGTCTAAGGGAAGTCGCTTCCTATTGTTCCCTCTCCTTCCCCCTTGCTGGGAGAGAAGGGAGTGGAGGTGTCGGGTGTCAGGTCCTATCGATCCATCTCATCCAGGAGAGGCGTGGCGTCCCCGGCGATGGACATGGGCGTGCTCTCGATCATGGGGCTGGGAGAGGGCCGAGGGGTCAACCTCTGCTTCTGTTTCCTCCGCTCAGCCTCCTTCTCCTGCAGCCACTGCTCGGCCATCTTGCCCCAGTCGATGGCAGCGTGGGTGTTGGTCCTGCAAGGACAGGGGGACAACGTGAGAAGTGACAAGGAAACTTCCCCGCCCTCCCTCCCTGCCCGTGGGGAAATAACCCCATCATGCTGCTTCCAAAAAAACCAGGAACATCAATGGAGACAGGACAGGGATAGGAGCACTCAGAGCTACTCACTTTGGCTGCTGCCTCTGCCTGGAGCTGGAGGAGGGCTGTGACTGGGACTGGGTGGACTGGGGCGTGGTGTTGGCCTGCAGCTGGTACTGGGGTGTGGTGATGGGCTGGCTGGGAGTAGTGTAGGAGTAGCTGGGGGTCATCAGAGGGGTGGCCACTGGCTGCTGTGCTGGAGTTGTGAACACCTGTGGAGAGGGAGTAGAGGCTGTCAGGGGACAGAGGGTGGACCTTGCCAGGCTGGGGGGGTTCTGCACTGCCCTGCTTGCCCAGGAGGGTGCCCACCCTCACTGTGCATGCCCCCAGCCCTGCTGAGCACAGCACACTTGCGCCCCTGAGAGCTGGGCCAGCACAGCCTGCCCTCCTTGCTCAGCCCAAGGGGAGATGCTGGAGCCAAGCAAAGGCAAGGGGCACCACAAACACTTGGGGCAAGCCAGCAGCAACGACATCCTGCAGCAGGCACAGATGAAGAAAGAACAGATAAATTCTTCCTCTGCAGGCTGCAGAGAAAGTGCAGCAGCTCCTAGGATGGCTCCCTCCCACAACCCAAGCCAGCTGGCTTCTTGTCCCATGAAGAGCTTAGTGCCTTTGCCTCCCGGTGTTCACCTCCCTTTTTTTTCAGATGTCTTGATGATTAATACATCGAGTTATCCACAGTCCCTGCCTATCCTCAGCTCAGCACTTACTGTGCCAAACTTCCTGAAAGCCTCCCAAGGAGCATCATCCTCCCTGCAAGCCTTGTCTTGCAGCATCTCTTCTTAGGGTGCAACAGCTGGGTGTGTTTTTTGCACCCAGGCTCCTCAGTCCTTCTGCAGCTGGAATTTGCCTTGGTGCCAGCTGGGAGCTTGCAGAGTGGGCTGGGAGCAGGCACACATCAAGAAAGGCTTCACCATGAGCCAAAACTGTCCAATTCCATCTTACTCCCTGCAAAGCCCCTGGGTGTTGGGTCAGGCTGAGGTGTTCCCCCTGGTGCAGCTCAGAGATTAGCGCTGAGCTGAAAAGCCCTGCAAACTCAGCGCATACCTTCCCAGCTAATCTCCTCCACTGGCAGCTCACGTTGCCAATTCAGGGGCACAATCAGAAGGTTGTGTGCCCTCACTGCTGGATCCCCCCTCTCCACCCTGCCACATTCCTTGGGGGCCAGACCAGTTTGCTCCTTGCTCCAACTCTCCCCGGAGCAGGGCTGTGTTACGCGCCTCATTTCTCCAGTCACGGGAGACAAAAGGAAACCTGGTTCAAGAATCCAGCCTGTGCAGCACCACGGGGACAAAACCAGGACTGGGGGACCCCAGGCAGTGAGGGATTCCTTGGGCTCCCAGTGGTTTTAGCAGCAAGGAGAAGCCAGCAGAAATTGAAGTGACACCTACGTGGTACGCGCTGCTGCCGCCTCCGCTGCCTCCGTAGCCGTACTGGCTGGAGCCCCACTGTGCTGGGGTGGCATTTGGGTTCTGTCCCTGGCCTGTCACAGCAGCAATGGCACTGAACATCTGGGAGGTCATGTTCTGTGGCAGAGCATTCACTGCACGTGTCAGGTCTGCAAGGGAGACACGCTGCATTAGGAAAAGTGGAGCCTGGAGGAGCAGCTCACATCCCAATCTCAACTGGGAATGGCTTGCACTGACCTGCCAGGTTGATGTTAGCTGGAGTAGCATTAATGGAGGCTGGAGTCCTGGTCCGACTGCTGCTGCTGGGGGTGATACCTGTGTAAAATACCAACAGGTTGATTAATTCTCCTGGAGGAGCAGCCATTGGTCTGAAATTCAGGATTTGAAGTTGTTCTGGCACGATGGTTTGCTACCAGGGAATGGTGTGTGCTGGATTGTATGGTGGGGGAGACAAAGGAGAGGAAAGGGACTGGTCCTGACTTTGCAGCACAGCCCACTTGATGAAAGATTAACTCTCAGGAGAGCTCTCAGTGGGTTGGTGCATGGAGCCAAACATTTCAAGCATTGCTCAGAAACTTCCCACACACAGAAAAATCCTAGGACACAT